TCTGACTCGATTTTTCAGAAGAAACTGGGCTTTGCCCTCATGGCAAATGGGCCACTGACAAGGTGCTGGGGCCAGAAGAGGGGCTGTGGTGTTAACAGCAGCTGTGGCGGGCAGCTCCTGCCAGGAGTCTTGGTGATGGCAGGAAGTGTAACTCTCAGCCAGGGATGCTCTTGGGATGTCCTGCTTAATATCTCTCTGCAGAGCTAGGCTTCTGCTGAGGGTCTCTAACCTGCACGAAGCACTCCAGTATCCCTAGGAACATAAGACTACAGGAAAATCATATCTACCTAAGACTTTGTAGATGGAAACTCAGTCTTTGTAGTTAAGTCTTTGTAGATGGAAGGAACAATGCGTGGCTTGGGGTAGGGGCCAGCACCTCCAGTGGCGTCTGTCTTCGAGGAGGGTGGTCTCATTTTTTCGGTGGCTGAGCAGGGATGGGAAGGGACAATGTGGTCACCAGAGAGTGTAGACAATCCCCACCCTAACTTCCTACTTCTGAGATGTGCAGGTTTGGGGACAGAGATGAGTTTTGTGGGGCCACAGGGGGAGACAAAGCCAAATTCTGCCATCAGAGGCCAAGGATCGATATGGGACAAGCCAGGTGATGGGTAGCTTGGGTCCACAGCTCCAGAAATTATTCAGTGTGACCGGAGCTGCAAGGACTTTAAAGTGTCCTTGCTGAATACTCAGCCAGCTCAGCTGTGGTGGAGGGAGAGGGTGGGAGAAATTATGTAGAGTCTAGTCTAGAATAAGTTCTGCTATCTCCCTCTGTTTTTCTTGGCTAAGTATGAAATAGTTGACATTTGTGTTTCGGGCTTCCGTGAACATGTGCACCAGGCACCCCTGTTGGACTAGCTTGGAGGGCTGTTTGAGACAGGTGTCACCTGGCTGTGGCCACCTTCCATGTCCAAGTTCCAGTGTACGGTGGGGCGCAGCCTCCCTTCCTCACCCCAGGAGCTCAGTCTGTGCCATGTCGGCTGCTTCTGCACCACACTGTGGTTAGCACAACCGCAGGTGACTGGCCTCATGTCACGTCAGAGAACACCTTTCTAATTCTTTATGAGGTTTCAGTGCTGAAAAGCCACAAAAGTCTGTTATGAGAACCACCTTGGGCATGAGTGCACAGCCCAATTGTGTGATGGCAGGGTCAGATGCTGTAGGGCCTTGTGAGCCATGGTATAGACTTTGGCCTTTATTCTGAGTGAGATGGGGTCATTTGGAGAGTTTAGGCAGAGGCAGGCCATGAATTGCCTTGTGTTAGTAAAGAATTGCTTCACTTTGGCAGATGTGAGAGAGTAAAGTAGGGGACAAAGCCAGAAGTAAGGATGCCCGATGAGAGGCTTTTGCAATTGCTCAATCAAAACAAGATGGCGACTTGAACTGTAGTGGAGAGGAGAGGGATTGAGGAGTGGTCAGATGGTGAGGATAGATATTTTAAAGGCAGAGCAGATGAGATTTACTGAGAAATTGGACAAGGGTGTGAGGGAAACGGAGGGGGCAAGAAAAACACCAAAGATTTTGGTCTGGTCACCTGATTTTATTGGGGAACACCAAGGTTGAGATTGTGCATTTGGAATTTCTTTTTATTAATTTCTTTTGATTATTCAAAAATTTTGAAAAACACAGAAAGTTATTTTAAAAATGAAAATTTACTCTTTATACAGCTCTTAGAAATAGCTATATTAACTCTTGCTGTATCTTCTTCTAATTAAAAAAAATTTGCTTTTTCACTTATTTGATCAATTATTATGCACATACAAAGCCACACTCTGCTTTTATCAAGAGTAGAATTTTCTTTTTTTGAGTCGGAGTCTCACTCCGTTGCCCAGGCGGGAATGCAGTGGCATGCTCATGGCCACCCCAGCATCGACCTGCCGGGCTCCAGTGATCCTTCTGCCTCAGCCTTCCAAATAGCCAAAGCTACAGTCACGCGCTACCATGTCCAGCTAATTTAAAAAAAAATTTATTGTAGAGATGAGGTCTTGCCAAGTTGCCTGGGCTGGTCTCGAACCCATGGGCTCAGGCAATCCACTCGTCCCGGCCTCCCAAAGTGCTGGGATTACAGGCTGAGCCACTGAGCCCGGCCAACAGTAGAATTTTTGAATGAGCTGGGTCTTTGGTTGAGGACGAATCTTGTCTTTTTGTCTCTCTTTTACTCTAAGCTTCACAACCTTAAATGTCGACAAAAAGAATATAAGCGTTAAGAACCTAAGATCTTATGTAGTCCTCAAACAAGTAATGATTCCTCTTGTTCGCATCACCTAACTTGAAGCAAATATCTAGCTCTTACATTTTTATTTCTCATGCAATGTTATTTAGAGTGTTGAAGTTAAATGTGCCACACACACACACACACACACACACACACACAAATATACACATTGGCCTTTGGTATCCAGGGGTTCTGTATCTGGTCTGGGAGTTCACGAAGTCAGTTTCAGGCATGTCAACTATCAAACCCAAACTGGGGACGCCGTGGGTGTGGGTGTTAGTCTCAACCTGGGCTCTGTTGCTTCAACTCTTTGGGTATAAGTGTCCTCAATAACTGATGCGAAAAGCACCTTGTCACTGGTACCTTCTATGGCCTGGGATATCAGGAGTCGACTGAAAAGCTTTCACCATTTTGACTACGTTTATACCAGCTCTAACTGGGCATGGCACAGCCGAGCGACAAAACGGAGATTGTTCACAGTGGCCGAATAGGGACGGGAAAGGACAATGGAGGTCACTAAAGAATGTAGACGATCCCCACCCCGACTTCCTACTTCTAAGCTTATGAAGGCGTGGAAAAGCAGGGTTGTGTGTTGACCACTGTGCTCCTCTAGTTTAAATCCAGCACGTGAGATCCACCTCAACTGAGACCAGCATGTGCTTGCCTTCCCAACGCTGGTTTAAAACCGAGAACTGGTCGATCCATGCTTATCTGAGTAGCTACTGAGTACAAGGCCATGTGACTGTCTAGGAATCTGGGCATCGGTTGGTTCCTTCAACCACACAGCAGAATTGCCATTGTCCTTATTTTAAAGACCCTTGGAAGGCTAGGACTCAGTCATTCTTTACTAATGAAACATAATTGTAAAACCTTTCAAAATGTACTTGAGTGAATACTTGTATCATTTGATGGCAATGAAGTGACACTTTAAACAGTTCTTCAGAAATCTGCTGATGGTATTTTGGATATTGAATGTATTCAATGTTTGAAGCAAAATCCAGTTTTTTTTCCCTTCCCCCTCTGAACGGGCTTCATGATGAACTCACATTCAGTTTCTGTCCTAATATGACTTCTCCAGAGACTGTGACTTTGCTTCCAGAGCGTTTTGCAGACTCTCAACATAGAGCCATAGGGCCATGCTGGTGCTTAACCCAGATCACTCAGATCCTCACCCTTTTTGTTTTTTGTTTGTTTTAAGTTAGTGTCTCACTCTCACCCAGGCTGGAGTACAGTGGCATGATCATGGCTCACCACAGCCTCGACCTCCTGGGCCCAAGCAATCCTGCATCAGCCTCCTGAATAGCTGGGATTATAGCATACACCACCACTCCCAGCTAATGATTCCAGTTTTTGCAGAGACAGGGTCTCGCTGTGTTGCCCAGGCTGGTCTCGAACTCTTGGGCTCAAGCAAACCCCCTGTCTCTGCCTCCCAAAGTGCTGGGATTAAAGGTATGAGCCACCATGCCCAGCCCCCCTGTTGTTTTGGTGTTTTCCTGTCCAACAGCACTTGCATCACCCTTGGGCTCCTGGAGGCCTTGTTGCTGCGGTGCCTGGGAATCTCTTCCCTCAGTCCCTCCTGCAGCTTTCAGCCAGGGGCAAGTTCTGGTAGGAGGAAAGCCCAGTTCCTTTGCCTCAGTCTGGGATGCCTCCAAGGGGTCATCTGCATTCCCGAGCCCACTGTCAGAAAAGGTGGAGCTAAGACTTTGCCTGAGGCAGTACACTTGCCAGTGTCTCTCCCCTTCCCACTCTCTTACTGGTCTCTCTTGAGACTGTGTCCTTCATCGTAAATTTGCACACCCTAACCTTCATTTCAGGGTCTGCTTCTGGGGAAACTGGTCTAAAAACATACTTTATACTCGTGTTTCCCAAATGGAGTCCCAAAGTGCCCCAGGGCTGCGAGAACTCCTGGGGGTGCTGTGGGGTATTTTAAATTTTCAAAGAAAACACAGTGTGACTCAGCAGTCATCAGACACAGCACACACTGCTCAAGGCAGTTTGCGATTTCAACACTGGGTCATGCTGTCTTCAGATGACGGCACGTCTTTCTGAAGCTGGGTTTTCAGTGACTGCTATGATAGAAAGCAAGATCCCAAGGAAAGTCAGGTAGAAGAGAAAACAAGGGTGGTGGTGTCTAATTTCTAGACATGAGAAGAGTCCACAGATGCACTTACCCCATTAGTAAGTGAGGTTATGAAAGTAACCTTTCAGGCAGAGCATGGCACACGTTCCTGTAGCTCTAGCTACTTGGGAGGCTGAGGCAGAAGGATCACCCGAGCCCAGGAGGTCGAGGCTGTGATGAGCTGTGATTGTGCCACGTGCTCTCAAGTCTGGGTGACAAAGTGAGACCCTGACTCAAAAAAAAAAAGAAAAGAAAAGAAAGGAAGAAAGAGAAAAGTTTAAAAATAACCATCTTTTAATGTATCTGTACTCCTTTTTTCAAATGGATGTTAAATTGTTGGGGCATACGTTCTTATTAAGTTGGGCCTAAGTTCTGGACCTTTTAGCTATTTCTTTTGGTCCAAGGTTACTATGAAATATTACCAAGTCAGTAAGGGTGGCGTGAGCCAAAAAAGTTTGAGGGGGCCTCTGCTTCATAGAGATAAAGATGATGTGTGCTTTTAATTAAAGTAGATCAAGTGTCTGAGTACCAGATAATGTTCCCCTTGCAAATGAATGAAGTGCTTATTTCCTTGTGTATTGTTTACATTTCTTTGTGGTCTTGCGTTGCTGATGGTTGGTCACTCTGGGCTTTTAAACATGAACATTTTCTCCTGTTTTCTTTTTTCAGGGAGTGGGTTACTCGAGCCCCATCCATTCATTTTCTGAGGGTGTTAATCTGTCTGAGGTTGCTGATGAGGGATCCATGTTATCAGGTTGGTTGGAAAAATAGACACACATTTTTCCTTGTTATGAAGGTGAAATAAAACAAACAAACAAACTGGTGGGATTTTCTTTGAAATAGTCCATGTTAACTTTTTTGTTTTCTCACAACTCAGTAGCTTCCATATTTGGGACTTATGTGATCTACTATTTGAAAAGATTTGAGAGAAGTGCTTTAATGGGGCACTATTTCTACTATATTACTACTATTTCTACTATATTACTACTATTTCTACTATATTACTACTATTTCTATTTCTACTATATTACTTATGGGATTAAGTGGATTGAACTTCTGGTCTATGTTTTCTTTGTTTCCTGGCATTTTAAACCATTCACAGCTGGAGGAGGTATGCACCTGCCCACAACTTCAAGCATGTTTAAGGCCAATTTGGCTGTGACAAGGGGGTTGCTCTTGTGGCCCCAGAGCTAGCCGGTGGTGAGACAGGGCCTGCAGCTTCCACAGCTGTTCCGGAATCAGTCCTTCCCCAGCCCCAGAACCTGAGTCAGAGGTGAGCCAGGGCTTCCTGCTTGTCTCAGAGGAAGGTTCTGAGGTCAAGAATCTTTCCCTTCTCTCATTAGTAAGTTTGACCTGCTGCCTCTGATTTAGTGCCTCCCAATCTTTAATGTGCGTGGGAGTCACCTGGGGATCTTGTGAATGCAAATTCTGATTCAGAAGGTGTAAACTGAGGACCTAGAGCATTTATTTATTATTTATTGTTGCCCATGCCGGAGTGCAGTGGCTTGCGCACACCCCAGCGTTGACCTGCTGGGCCCTGGTCAGATCCTTCTGCCTCAGCTTTCCAAATAGCCGGAACTACAGGTGCACGCCACCAGGCCCAGCTAATTTTTTGATTTATAGTAGAGACGAGGTCTTGCCAAGTTGCCCAGTCTGTTCTCGAATCTGTGGGTTCAGGCAATCCCCTCACCTTGGCCTCCCAAAGTGCTGAGAATACAGGCTTGAGCCACCGTGCCCGGCCTAGAGTCTTCATTTCTAATGAGCTTCCAGAGGATGCTGTTGCTACCGGTCCATGGCCCACACTTTGAGTAGCAAGGACTTAGTGCGTTAGCGTGAGACTGTAGAAAAAAGCTAACTTAACACTTCACCTGGACCCAGAAAGCTCTTCCTTCCAGTCCAGCTGGTAGATCAATAGCTAACTGTGCAAAGCAGTAGTTCTCAAACTTATTAGAAACATCTGAAGAACCTGAAGATTGTTGGAGCCCACTCTCAAAGTTTCTGATTCAGTAGGTTTGGGGTAGACCTGAAAACATACACGTTTAACAAATTCCCAGGTGATGGTTATGCCGCTAGTTGGGGACCACAGTTTGAGTATCACTTCCCCAGAGCCCCAGGGCTAATTTTTTCTACTTGCCCATGTTAAATATCCAAAATGTTCTCATCATTCATACATGCTTCTGTCATTTGCACAGATTACTTTTATTTCCTAAGAAGGATCTCCGTTTATGCCCTGTCCTCATAGGCTACTAGGAAGCTCACACCACTGTGATCTTTTATTTTGGACTAAGACTTATTGATGAATTCTTGAGTCAGAATGTGTTTCCTTCAAGGGCCAAGTTTGGAAAAGATGATTACCTTTGGGAACGTAAACATCTTTTCCAAACTTGGCACTTTATAAAAGTGTTTTGGTCCCAACCAGCTACAGAGCCTGCTCTGACTTGAGTCTTCTGGGCATCATGGGCACTAAACATCTTAGAAGAATCACTCCTTCTCACACTGTGTCCTAAACTGGCCTCTTATAGTTGAGCTAACCACAGCCCTTTGCATATGTGTCTTGGGGCATCCAGGTGGCCTTCTGTCTTGGTTTCCCACAGTTTTCCGGATAAGTAGCCCCCATATTTTTCCCCAAGACCAGCCATACAGAACTGTGTGTCCCATGGGTGTCTGAGCTGCTTTTTGCAATTCTGTGGGGGGTCGTGTGTAACAAGAGTGGTCTATAGGTTCCGTTTTGTCTGAGTCTGTTTCAGGTCTCAGTATGTGTCCTTCATTCCCACTCAGTTATTAACAGCACCCTCTTGTATGCCTGACGTCTCACATTGGATGAAAACATTATATGTGTAATATTATTACACATCTTCAACATGCCTTAGCCATGTTCTGTTCAGAAAACTGACGGTGGTGGTGTCACACTCTGGTGGTGTCCTGTGTCAAGTACTGCCTTTCCTGATCCAGTTCTTGATGGATTTGGGCAGGGTTGATTGTACTGCCCTCTAAAGGGAAGAATCTGGGACCACTTTGTTTATGAGATTTGTGCCCAAAACACATATGAAATGAAGATCGCCCTGACTGCCAGTCTTCCATAGAAGGGCATTCTCTCCCAGTCTCTCCTCCCTGGTACTCTTTCCCCGTAGAAGGCCACGTGTTCAGGCAGTTGTTTAACATCTTGAGATGCCAAGAATTGTTGGCTGAAGTCACAAAGCTGTGCTGGGGTTTACTATACCTCACGCCAGTGAATCTCCGCGTGCCTGTGTCCTGGCCACGCATTCCTTTCCTCTCTTGTTCAGTTGGGATTGCAGGGGCCACAGCGGCTGCTCCAAACTTTCTCTCAACCAAAGCCCCCCTCCCCCTGTTATTCTCGTCTCATTGCGTTGTCCTCTGCTGCACAAGGATGATCAAAGCCATCCCACTGTGACCTTTCTTATGTTCTCCTCTCTGTTCTTTGAAATAGTTGGATTATCCTGCAATCAACTTCTCTCTTATTTCAGAAGTAGTATTCCTCCTGCTTGCAACGCATACCCTTCCACCTGTTCTCTTTTTTATGGTGTCAGTGGCTTCCTTTTCTAGTTTCCCTTATCATAGAAATATCCTTTTCTTGGTCAGGTGTGGTGGTTCAGCCTGTAACCCCAGCAATTTAGGAGACTGAGACGAGAGGATTGACTTGAGTCCAAGGGTTTGAGACCAGCCTGGGCAACTTGGTGAGATCTCGTCTCTATAAATCAAAAAATAAGCCAGGAGTGGTAGCACACGCCTGTAGTTCCAGCTACTTGAAAGGCTGAGACAGAAGGACTGCCTAAGCCCAGAAGGTCGAGGCTGCGGTGGCCGGGAGTGTGCCACTGCACTCCAGCCTGGGTGACAGAGTGAGACTTCGACTCAAAAAAAAAAAGAAAAGAAAAGAAAAGAAAAGAAAAGAAAAGAAAAATTCTTTTCTTGACCCAGCTGTCCTTTCAGATTTTCCTCCCTGTCTTCATGACTACATTTCTTGAAAGGTCAGGCTATGTCTCCCAAACCCACTTCCTTTCCCCCAGGACTGCTGTATCACGTTGCTTGCACATTAAATCCTGTGCACAAGGTTCTCTCTGGAGGTTGTTTAAATAGACCACACTGTGCCACACTTCAATCCCTGTTCCTTGACCCTGTGGTGCAAACTAGTGGCGCATAGCCTGGATCTGGCTTGCCAGTGCACAGAGTTTCCAGTATATGTTTAACGGAGGTTCCAGCAAGAAAAGACTGGAAGGAATGTCAGAGAAGAAAAGACTGGAAGGAATGACATTCTGAAGATGGAATGGCCTGAGGTTTTTCAGGATTGGAGAAAGACACGTGCTGAGATTTCAAGTGCACTTGGGGTACCAAGCAGGATAAAGACAGACGTTCACCTGGATTCCTTACGGAGAACCCACAGGACATTGCTTATCCAGGATAGAGAAAATCTTCAACTGCAAAATTATATTAGAAACAGCAATAAAAAGACAGCGGAATTGAGTAGTCTTCTCTCGGCCCTTGTGCTTCTCAATCTCTCTTTGCAAGAGACACTGTTCACATTTTCTTTCTGCCTTCACTGATTTTGAAAACCTCTATTTCTTAGTGTTGTTGTTTTTTATATTTTTATCTGCTCCTATTCTTAATCTTGTCTTTCTAAATGTTAGGCTTCTCCAACATTCTTTTCTTATCACTTTCTTCCATATCTTCTAAGCTCGTGGCTTCAACTACCATTTTTTTTGTTCTTTAGTGGGGAAAAGATAAAAAAAAATGGTAGTTGAAGCCACGAGCTTAGAAAATATGTCCTTATCTTCAGGTAAGGTAGTTGAAGCCAGAGCTTAGAAGATAAGTCCTTATCTTCAGCCTCCATCTTTCCTGTAAAGTTCCGAATTTTCTGAGTAGTAGACAGCCACCTCAGTGACATAGTAGCATAGTACTTCTCAAAGTGTGGCCCACGGAATGCTTACAGGTCTCTGGGACCCTTTCAGGGATTCCATATGGTCAAAATTTTCTTCAAAATGGTGCTAAGATGTTGTGTTTTCACTCCCTTCCAAGAGTGCTGTGGAATTTTCCTGAGACTCATGTGAAGGCATCACGGCCCTGGTAGCTGAGGGAACATGTGCTTGCATGCCCTTGGGTTTTAAATATGTCACTTTCAATTTATAGTGTGGTAAATATAAATTGATACTGTGTAATTCATATAAACAAAAACTCTTTGGGATTCTCAGTAATCTTTAAGTGCAAAGGGGTTCTGAGACCAAAAAGTTTGAGAACCATTATTGTAGTACATACACTCAATAACTTTATTTATTTATTTGGGCTGAAGTCTTACTGTCGCCCAGGCTGGAGTGCAATGGCATGCTCACAGCCACGGCAGCCTCAGCCTGCTGGGCTCGGGAGATTGTTCTGCCTCAGTCTTCCGAGTAGCTGGGACTACAGGTGCACATCACCACACCTGGCTAATTTTATTTATTTATTTATTGTAGAGTTAAGCTCTTGCCAAGTTGTCCAGGCTGGTCTTGAGCCCCTGGGCTCAGGCAGTCCTCTCACCTTGGCCTCCCAAAATGTTGGGATTACAGGCATGAGCCACCATGCCCAGCATATACTCAATAACTTTAAAATGGAGATTTTTCAACCAGGGGCAGTGGCTTACACTTGTAATCCCAGCACTTTGGGAGGCTGATGTGGGAGGATTGGCTTGGAGTCAGGAGTTTGAGACCATACTGGTCGACATAGGGAGACCTTGTCTCTACCAAAAAAAAAAAAAATACATTAGCC